CTTATTTGCTATTAACCTAATTTATTTATACAATATAATATTAATAATATTTTTTCAAAAATATAGAAAAAGGTATTGATACAACTTCTCACTTTAACTCTTGTTTTTAAATTATATTTTTTTACACACAAAGCTAGACAGAGAAGAAGTGTGAATAATATCAAATATATGGATTGGCATATGTAAAGAATGTGATTTTTATGGCTTAATACCTGTTTTGTTGTCCCTCTTTTTTAGGAAATGTTTCACTTTCTTCGTCCTAACAACCTTTTTCAAAAAAGTTCAATGTGGTCCCACGTTGTGAAAAAGTGTCCAGTTAATCCTTTTTGGTCCGGCGTTAAATATTTAACATCCTTCTGCCAGCTAGGACGATGTGTGCAACGTGGGCTTTTTTACCTGCGTAACGTGAGTTGACATGGCAAGTGACTTTGAGGAAATTGATATTTGGGATTTATCATCGTGGAGAGTGTCTTTGAATCCCCCTGAAGTCCCCCTTCGAGTCCAGCCCTGGACTCCGGATCCTCCTCCGCTTCAAGTTTGTCCTCGGCGGCGCCCAGTCTCTGGGAGGACTTTCAGTCGAACCGCAAAACTCTTATCCCAAGCGATTTAGAATAAATGGTAGTTCAAAAGATACGTTGTCTACTGCTCAAGATCTAAAGGAGAACAATTCATCTAAAAATGAAAGAAGCTCAACTCCTGAGGTAAATTCAGTGACTGATTTGTCCAAAAAGGATGTTGCATATGTGAATACAGAAGGGGCTGACCAGATGCAATCAATTCCTGTTACTGAAACAGTAAAAAAATCATCAGTAAGTCTTGTTGCAGTTTACAATTACGTGCACAATCTTTGTCTATGTATCTTTGATGTGAGTTTCAAATATTGTATAGATCTTAATTGTTATGGATGATATGTGTGCATGTGATTATGGATCCCAAAATCTGCATTTTTTTTTTTTTTCGCTTACTATCTTAAGACTTCACATAACATCCTACACTCCTGATGGTTAATTGAAAAGTTGGAAAATCTGGTTCTTTGTATACTTTTCCCTTTTCTTTATTGTTGTGTAGACTTAAACATATTCCTATGTGATAAAAAGATATTTGAGGCTTAGGTCACCATGTCCATTTAGATCTGCATGATATTGTTATTTAATGTTCTGCATGTTTTGGAATAACAAATAACTTGCTATTTATTTATCTTGTTTATGTTACTGTAGTCAAGGCACAGTACCGGATGGGGCTTACATGATATCAGCCTTTGGGGGATCAGGTTATTTTTTTGTTTTCAATGACTCCCTGACATGTTCTTTACTGTTGTTTGATCAAATAAATATTGAGTTCCTAGACATTGTGTTTAGATGGTGGTAGGAACCTTTGGGAGAATGCTTGGCGTGCCTGCATGGAAAGGCAACATGGTCAAAATCTCATCCTGCTAACCAGAAACACCTGTCAACCACGATCTGGTATTGTTTTTGTGTCAATAGCTTGTCTTTGATGTTAATTTGACTTTTTGATTACTCCTGGAAATTGAGATCTTTTTTTTTTTTTTTTTTTTTTTTTGTTTTTAGTTGCTAAAAGCTCTGTTTTGCTGCCTAATCAAAGTCTATTCAGGAAAAGTACTCTTCACACTTGGTCCGAACCACACCAAGGCTCTCCACCAATTGTACACCCCTTAAATCTCTTTCATTCATCCCCCCTTTGGAGTCTATCACTCCTGGGTTTAGGTGGTGATTCTCTGCATTCTAGTGCCCTTGCAAAGTTCTGTTGTGGAGATCCCAGAGTGGACCGGGGGCCGCGGGCATGCTTGGAATGGCAATGCCTCCCACAGTTGAGGCTCCGGTCAAGAACTTAGTAAAATTCACCCAGATGCAAAACAAAAAATTAAAAGATTAATCCACCATCTTGAGTTACTTTTCTTCTAATCCATTCCCTCAGTGGGAAATTAAACCAAAGAAATATTACGTTATTATTTCGTATTTTACCCATTTCTTCACCAAATCGACACGAAAATAAGAAATTGAACAAGAAAGCGAAGCACGACCTGCGAATCGTTAGGGCAGAAGGCGAAACAGCGATCAACAAGGGAAGAGGGGAAGGACTTGCAGACATTGGTGAAAAGGTCGACGGCAACGTCGAGATCGGAGGAGGAAGGACAGTGGACGATGCCGACGACGCCGAGAGTTTTGCGGTTCGACTGAAAGTCCTCCTAGGGACTGGGCGGCGCGCCGCCGAGGACAAACTTGAAGCGGAGGGATCCGGAGTCCCAGGGCTGGACTTCGAAGGGGGACTTCAGATTTCAAGACAATTCCTCCACGATGATAAATTCCAAAATTACCAATTTCTCTCCAAGTCACTGCCACGTCAACTGCCACGTTACGCAGGTAAAAAGCCACGTTGCACACATCAGTCCTAGCTGGCAGCAGGATCGTTAAATATTTAACGCCGTGACCAAAAAGGATTAACTTGGACACTTTTTTCACAACGTGGGATCACATTAAACTTTTTGAAAAAGGTAGGACGAAAGTGAACATTTCCCTTAAAAAGAGGGACAAAAACAGGTATTAAGCCTATTTATAATGATGGTAACAGGGTATTTTCTTTACCAACCCCTTAATGGTAACCAGAAAATCCACAGTTTGCAAAGTAATACTGATATACTTGAATATGTCATGAGCATAGCTGTAGAATGGATCGAAATCGGGTGGGAGGGAAATTCCAGATCCATACGAACCAGTTAAGAAAGAAGCAAATGGCAAATGAAAGTGGCAATAACGCAGTTCCGGGGTTCCAATGGCTGAATCGCTTGGTTTCAGAACCTTATTACCTTTTCCATTTCTTAACTTTCTTCTCATATTTCATCATTCGCAGCTCCGCTTCCGAAGTTCTTGCACCTCATCTCATCCAACATCTCCTTCGTCGCGTAAAATTCTCTCTTTTTCTCTCTTGCACGGATTTCCTTACAGATTACTTACTTTACTTGTTCTCCTCTCTCAGGAAATACAAACGTTGCTTGTGTTCGCGATATTGGTTGTCATCAAGGTACGCGCTGTTGAAATCAGATCGAATTTCACCTCGAATTTTCATTCCGCGTTTACATTTGCCTAAAATTTATTAGTCGATAGTGTGAATGGTAACTGTTAACTCTAAAAATTGGGCATAAAAAATGTGAATTGCAGGTTATAAAATTCAACTCTTGGTCGGGTCAAGTTATTTTTTAATTTATTTTACCAAAAAACATTCTGTTAAGTATACCATCACAATGCTACTGGAAATGTCATGTGGCTAGTTCATGGATACGTTAATAACTGTTTTAATATCCAACAATGCCATGAATTATGGATGGAATTTATGTAATTGTGGTAAGTCGGTTGGCATTAATAATGAGAAGGGTTTTGCGGTTTAAGTGTGAATGGCGCAAAGCTGAAGTGTAATCTTTCTGCATTCCCAAATCATGAAGCTTCTAGTTTTGTCTCATGTGTTAGTGAGATTCTCCGTTATAGATATCTTGTGTTGTTAGGGCACTCTGATTTTTTTGATTATTTTGTTGATTTGGGTGTCTAGGATCGATCGATCAACTGTTGTTTCAGGCACTGCTGCTTTTAACCTTCGAGAACTTATGTGTGCGTTGTATTCAATTCTACTTTTTTTGTTACAGGGAGTAAAAGAAGACAACTGGGAAGCCTTTATAGCCGATGCACTTTTCCTTGGCAAGGTAATCTCAATTGATGAATTTGTAGGACTTTTACAGCTGCCTTCTTTGATTCATAAATCACTTCCTCACTTGCCCCTTTTTATTATCAGTAAGATAGGGTTCAGACCTTTCTATTTTATTTGAAATTAAATTGTTCATACTCTAAAGTGACATCTTAAGTCTAACTAGGTTAGATGGCTATTAAACTATGGAGCATGCATTATTACGATCTTCCTGCTTGTTTTTTTATTGGCAACTACACAGTTTCTGTTGTGAAAAAAAAATGATGTGTTAAATCACTTTCTTGCTGCTGCGTACTTCCTGTGATTTAATTTGTTTGTGTCTATATGGAAGTTCTCAAACCTATCTTATTTTGTTATTTCCAGATTTGTCTTTTTGTCTTAGCCATTACGATGGATCGCCACTTAGCCGTATGGTATATTCTTGTATTTTTAGGTGGGTAGTTTCATCTTATTCTGTGTTAGTTAAGCATAGATGCCTTTTATTCACACCATGTTTAATATCTTGCAATATAATTTTATCTATGAAAGGCATCATGAACCATCACACTATTATTTTTTGTTATTTTTAAAAAATATCTTATATATTCTTTTCACCAGTTTTTGTGATTTTAAAAATGTTTTTTATTGGTGATTTTTTAAATAAGAAAAGTATATTAAAAACTGCATATTTAACTCTCATGGAGTTAGATCAAAAGGAAATTTTAGATGTGCGTTAGATAACTACTGAAAGTAACTTACAATTACAACTTGTGATGCTACACTCCATTTTGTAGATGCGTGCTTCTGATTATTTTCTGTGTTGCAGTGATACATATGTTAACACAACAACCTCTATTCCAAGGACTAGGTACGGTTGGTTGGATTTGACTGATTTGCCTGTACGATTTTGTTATATTAAGCATCTTATCAGTGGAAAGTATCCTAAGAAATACAAGAATTCGTTATTTTATCATAGTCATAGATCATATGATTCAATTCTGTTTCTCTGTGATTAATTCTTATCAGGTACGTCCAGCAAGCTAACCCCATTGCAGTTGGAAAGCCTGTTGACAGAGGGGACAACTACAAGATTGTGGCTGGTGCGTATCTTCAGTTCAATGAAATTGCTTTGTGCATCTTACTGAAATATGCTGTTAGTTTAGTGAATACAGTCAATGCACAATGATAATGACCTCTGGAAAACAGAGTGTGGTTCAATAGCTATATTTATGTAATGTACGTTCTTTTTTACCCATTTTCTGTTTGTTTTTTTTTTTCCGGAGTATTGCTTGGGGGAATTGGTGGGGTTGAAATGTAGTTGGTGAGAAGAATTTATTTCTGATTTTTCCCTCTTGTAATTTATTGGTCAACTAGTGATGCAAATGGCTAACATTTCTTCTGCATTATATTATTATCAAACAATTATTTCATTTATTGATACTTACATCTACTACTAGTGGAGTGACATCTAGTTTTGACATGATGGGGGATATTATTATTGTCGAACCAAACACTTATATTGCATTTGCTGGTAAAAGAGTAATTCAACAAACATTGAATACCTGAAGATTCACATTTAACTGAATATTTATTCCGTAAGGGTTTGGTCGTATCATTGTTTATGTTTTAGTTCTCTTTCATTTTTCCTTTGGTTTTATCCACTTTTCTTTCTTTCTGTGAGTTGGCAGGTGGAATTTTGTGCTTCATATTCACCTGCTTGCATTCGCTCAAGTCAGCATTTTCCTGAGCTCTCCATTACGTATGTTTTCTCTTTGACTTTTGTCTTGAACTATTTTTCTTCAAGTAAAAAGGGAAAAAAACTTCATATTATTGTATTCTTACCTATTATGAGTAACTTTTGTGCCTATAATAGGTTTTGAAGCTGTCTAAATATCGAGTCTTTTTTATTTGAGTTATCTTTTTTGTGTGTTCTATTTTCTTTATAATGCCCAAATGAAGGAAAAGTTTTGGTTAGTTTTTTATTACAATATAAAGTTGCGACCGCACTTTCCTGTTTTAATAATTGTTGGAAATGAATACTTGGTTTTCAAATTTGACCCCATTTATTAGCACCTTCATTCAAATGGTTAAGAAGTAGACTTTAAGCCTAACTCACTCAACCCCATAAAATCACTGGCTTGTAGAGTGAGGTCTGCACCCACATATATACTCTAAATTGACCTTATCTCTAGTCGATGTGGGTTGAGTTAGGGTTAAAGTGCAGTTCTTAACATGATATCAGAAGCATTGTTAGAGCCTATCTTAGTGAGATTTGTGTTGTTGGACATATTGTTCCACTCGCTATTGGGCCTTTATCGGACCACCCATTAATGTCCAGTCCCATGCTTGAAATGTATATACCTCGGCGTGAGGGAGTATGTTGGAAGTTCCACATCAACTAGAGATAAGGCCAGGTTTATAGGATGTATGTGGGCGCAAACCTCACCCTACAAGCTGATTTTGTGGGGTTGAGTTAGGTTTAAAATCCACTTCTTAACTGGTATCTAGAGCTTAAGGTTCTTTTTAGGAAAAATTTATGTTGCCTATGTCTTTACACTCACCGCTGTCGGCAGTAGCTCCGTCTACTGATGGTGGCGGCGCCGTCGTCCATTGCAACCATTACCGGAGTTAGAGTTTTGACCAGCGATCGCACGATTTGGATTGTCTTGGCCATGCGACCACTGTGTTGTCAATGATGCCTTCATCAAAGCTCCTACGCGCTTTCAATGCCTTTTGAAGTTGTGGATCTGCTCCTTTTTCCGTCGTGCGTGGTGACGCGTGTCGTCTCCTCTCAGGCAGCGATTCAGAGCGTCGAGGTCCCTCTTTTTTCTCTTTAAGGTTCGTCGTGCATGGTCGCACATTCCGTCTCCTCTTTCAGGTGCTTGATTGGAGAATCATAGATTTTTAGGGTTTCTTTCTCCTGTTCATCAATGACTTCTTTCGTTGTTGTCTCTTCTGAACTTCCTTCTGTCACCATTGTGTTTGACCCGTCCATATATGTTTTTTCTTCTGTGGCAAGGATGACTTTATAGCCGTGATGACTCTTCAACAATGACCTCTTTATCCATTAAATGTCAACAATGCATTCCTCGATGACAATTTGCAAGAAGAGATTTTATGGAGCAACCTCCCAGATTTGTTGCTCAGGAGAGTCTTTTGGGTTGATATTTCGTTTTTTATGTCGTCTTGACAAATAATTAACAATTTGGTGTCACTCAAGTGCAAAAGCAGATAACAAAGTCTTTGTTAATTATATTAGTAATAAGCCTGGTACATACGATTTGTATGTACCAGCTTGAAGGGAAGTGTTAGATATATATCTTATCTTTATTAATAATAAGCCTGATACATACATAGTTTTTCACTATATTCAATACAATCTAAACAATCACTTCAAATTTTAGTTTTGTTTAAATTGAAAATTAAAATACAAAATAATCAAACTAAACACTCATTTGTGTTGTTTTAGAGATTTTACCATTAAACGCAAAGCAATCTTATATTTCTTTCATTGTTTGGATTGGGAAAACTAAAATCAAATGAACTAGTTTTGAAATCCCATATCAGCTAGGTCTAATTATATGACTAAATAATCCCTAAAATGACTTTGGTGTAGCACTGATAACGATGTAGACACATACACTTCAACACGTGTAGTTTCCAAAATGTAGGACATTGGGGGCACAAATCTATATATTAGATCATTATGAATTATTTAATTTAACAACTAATATTTATATACTCAAAATTATCTATAAACAAGGTTAGACAAATATAATAGGTTTAAACCCTCGGATGGTCCTCATGTTTGTATGGAAATCTCAGTTAGGTCCTCATATTTCCAACTGTCTCAATTGGGTCATAATATTTGTAAAATTGAGTCAATTTTACCCTATCCGTTAAGTTGTTCCAGACGGTGTTAACTTGAGCTGACATGGTGCATACTTAAAATGTTGATGAGGCAGTATTATATTATGTAATTTTTTTTAGGTGAATAATTTATGACATGGCACAAGATTTAATTAGGGATTCAGAGTCTTCATCATCCTCCACTGTCTCCAAAACGCAGCTACCAATGCTATTCTCCATCATTTTTTCTTCTCGTTCTGGGCGGCCGCGGAGGTTGTTTGCTTGATTTTTCTTCGACCCTGCGAGTTGTGCAGAGTAGAGACTTCTGCTGGGGCCTTTCACTTTGTTCTTAACTTTTTGGGAACAATGACTTAAGTGGGTTTTCCTTGTCAGAACCTGGATGCCAAACACAGAAGAAAACAAAAGGGATTTGTGGTTTTTTTGAGTCAGAAAAGCCGACGCTTTTTGGAGTCGATTTATATCTATTTGATGGGGTTATTTGAAATTAGAGTTGTTAGGAGGAGGATGTAGTAGTGAGTCTCCAAATGAGGTCAACAGCATAAGCTAATTCTGGTTAAATTCTTCCTCCTTCATTTTGTGCATTGAAAATTCAGAAAAAGTAATTCCTAACTTTAAACCCCTAGAAATATCATCATCCAGAGAAAAACACATAACACAAGCATCAAAACCCAGATTCCAATATATAAAGCTGAAGATGGAAACACCCACCCTCCAATCATTTTGATTATAATAAAATAAAATAAAATAACACGAGGAAAGAAAAAAAAAACGTACCTTGCTTGAAATTTCAATTCTTGAAGATGACACTAAGTATAAGGGTGACCGTTGACGGTGCCAGTCCAATTAATTCTGGTGAGTGTGTATTTGGGGCAGCCATCAGGATCTGCCATGGACAAGAGCGTGGGAAAGTAATGCTCCTCGGGTAGCATTCGTCGTTGCGGTAACAGGGGATCTTGAATTTCCTCTAGAGGGTTCGGTCCTTGACGATGAGGCGAGTGTGGCGGCACGTGAGGGCGAAGAATTGTGAGTCGACGCAAAATGAGGGCGGAGAAGGAGATGGAGCGGTGGACCGCGACGATTTGAGTGTCGCCACCGACATGACGGAGCCGGTTGTCGTTAGCGTTGGTAGCTGCGTTTTGGAGTGGATCTTTTGGGCCAGTGGGCGTCTCAGCGGCAATGTCTCTACGGGGACTATGGTTTTCGTCCTCCGACTTATCACTGCGATTGGGGATATTTGGGATTGTTCATCTGAGGAAGGGATCTGATATTTGGTGGTTCGAAGTTGTGTTTGGATGATGCAAGGACTGATTGGAGATTGGGGTTGAAGAGGGTTTAGGCGTAATGGTGAAAATGGTGACTGCCGGTGGTGGCAGCGATGATGGACCTTTGGACTGATTCAATTTTTGGCTTAATTTGAAGATAAGTAAATTCCTAATCTGAAAATTAGTAAAACCCTTTGCCATGTCATAATGGCTTAAACTAAATAAAAATTCCACGCAATCAAACACTTTGAGATCAACATGCAACACGTCAGCCTCATTTAACGCCGTCTGTGAAGATTTAACGGACCGGGCTTAGTTGACTCAAATTTTCAAATATTTGGACCCAATTGGCTCAATTTTACAAATATCATGACCCAATTGAGACAATTGGAAATATGAGGACCTAACTGAGATTCCCATACAAACACGAGGACCATCTGAGGGTTTAAACCAATATAATAATCTAACATATTGTCACCTATTACAAAAATGAATATAATCTATCTATCCAATATCCAAAAATTGAAAAGTAGTGATGATATAAAATTTGTTCTTTATTTCTAGGTTTAATGTTTCGGTAGATCCGTTTCTTTGTCCAGAATCTCAAATAGGTCCCTTAGTTATTCGGTGTCTCAATTGGGTCCTTATTTTTGAAAAATTGAAACAAATAGAGGCTTGCCGTCAAATTGGACGAACACCGTTTAAGAGGCCCTTACGTGACGTGCGGATAGTATTTTCGCCTAAGCTAAACCTTCTCGCCTGGGCGAGATATGCAGAAAACTGAAACACAAGTTTTGCTAATATATTCGTTTTGTTAGGATGCAATAGATGATGTTAAAGTGAGTTTGTGAATGAAAACTCAAATAGCAATGTATTTGACTATCTTGAATGAATGAAGTTTGTTATATTCAGTCTAATGTTTGGCTCTATTGGTAGCTGTTTCAGGGTCGAATTTCATCAAAGTATACTCTGTTGTGTAATCCATGAAAATGAGTTACCTTACCTCAATACCAGCAATGATGTTAATGGTATATCAAAAAGTAGGAATCCTAATCAAGAAGGGATCATATTCCTATGGAAGCAAAAACACTTTTATTTCTGTGATAAAGTACCAGTGTTTTATCTCTTCATACCTCGCGCCCTATAATTTGAGGAAAGAAAACACTATGTTCAAAAGAAAGTGGTTATGAATCAGTCCTTCCTTTTCGGAGTTTTAACACAGGGTCGCGTGGTCTCGCTTAAGCTAAACATTTTCGCTTAAGTTAGATTGACAAGGCAACAATTTTAAAAGGATTCCCCAGGCAACCTAAGTTTTGCCTAAGCGAAAAAGCTCCAGTGGCTCAACCTTAGTTGCAGGACATTGTCACCCAGGCGAGCAAAGTTTCACGTAAACGAAAATGTTCCAGTGGGCACCCCAAGTTTTAGCCTAAATCTCGCCTAGGCAACTTAGTTTTAACTTAAGTTAAAATGTTCCTGTGCATATCTAGCCCAGACGAGAAGATTTAGCTTAGGTGAAATTACTGTCAACATGCCACGTAAGGGTCTCTTAAACGGTATTTGTCCAATTTGACGACAAGCCTCTATTTGTTTCAATTTTTCAAAAATAAAAACCTAATTGAGACACCGAATAAGTAGGGGACTTATTTGAGATTCTGGACGAAAAAAGGGACCTATCAAAACCTTAAACCTTATTTCTATAATCATATTATGCATTAAGTTTTCAAGTTTGTGGGTTTTAGAAAATAATTGTATTTGTCTTTATTAGCATTCTATTGGAACCATGTCAAGTTTCAAATTGGACATTTTCCATATCCGTGTCATGAGTATCGGATGCTACGAGTTAGACACATGGACACGCCTTTTGTGAGGCGTTTCTAAGCTTGATATGGCTGATTCTCTTTCCTTCAGTTAGATTCTGGAGCTGTCCAGTCTGTTATGAATTCTATTAAGGCATTAAAACCTATACGGTATCAATAAATTATATTAGGGAAACTTCTTTATTGTTTACACTGCAAGTATACGAAGTTAACTAATATGGTTGAGAGGAATTTACATCCCGCATCAGCAATTTCCATGAAAATTGTTGTGATTGTAGTTCTTTACAATTTCCGTACATTCATGTCTGGCAGATATTCAAGCAAAAATTTATCGTTTGGAATAGTTGATCTTGGTCTCTTTCCTAATGCTGCTGAAAAATTTGGAATATCCCTAAGTGGTACCTATTCTAACTGTTAGCTTTTTGAATTTATTTTCCTCCTTTTCACTATAAGTGTTTAATTTCTTTCTGTTTTACTATTATTTTTTTCTAGTTATTGTTGTATAGTGATTTAGTGAATATGGAATTTATATTATGCCTTGTGATTATCAGGAAGCATGGGCCAGCTTCCTACATATATCTTATTTGAGAATGCAGCTGAAGTTGCCCGCTTTCCAGAGTTGGATTTTGAAGCAACATATTTTCACCCTACGATTACCAAGGTTTTTGTCTTATTTAGGGTATATGCTATTTTGAATAGTGACTGAATAAGACCAACTGGTCAGTCTCTGTTTACAAAAACTTCACAATCTCTTTATAAAAGAAGAAAATAAGTTGTTTCTCATAAATAGAAATAATTTATGAATCTTAGTTTCATGCAGATACATGAAAGAACTTTTATATAAGTGAATTGCATAAATTGATTTTAACTTAAAAGAGAAAGTAAAAGTATTGTGCATAAATTTAACCAAAAAGGTTCAAAATATGCTACGATTTTAAAACATTGTCAATGCTCTGCATATCATTGAACTTGAGCTGGGACTATATAAAATTTACTTGTTATCGTCACTGTTCAATTAATTGTCTCCGATTGGTATAGTTTAACCGGACATATGAATTGTGAGCTGCAGGGGCTTCTTTCTCGTCATTTTGAGCTTGATCGGCACCTTCTGGAATATTTTAATGGTAAATAGGTAATTTCTCGGCAGTTCTATCCTACTATGTTTCGGTTTTTTCTGGCCCTTTCAGTAACATTGTAATCATTTCAGATTTATTTGTTGGTTCTAGGATCTAATGGAGCAAGTTGTTCTCCGAAATTTCGCCTCAACCCACTCTAACTTACGCTATTCCTACAGGTAGTGGGAAATCTTGCATCGGTCCAAAGAGAAACAGTTTTTTTTGTAAAAGAATTGAAAATTTTTTTAATGCAAAAGTTGACCCTTTTAGGAATATTGTTGTAGTTTTTTTGCCTGCTAGCGATAAGGTTATCCCCCTGATAATAATCTCTTTACTAGGATAGTCTCGGATTCTCAACAGATTTTATTTTATAGAAGCTAAATCATCTAAGATGATATTCTATCCATTTTTTTTTCTGTAGTATTTGCTAGCTCAACGTCCTCTATAACGTATTTATTCCTATTATTTCATTTATTCCTAAGTATAATGCGACATTTCCGGGGTTATACTCGATTTGCTTTTGGTCTAGACGAAAAATGCGTGTAAGAATCTGAGAAAATGTATGTCTTCGTAGTCTGTCTGCATAAACATACTGTGTACATATATCGTTACTGCCTGAGAAAGTCAAGGGAGGAATAAATCTTATGGCATTCCTAAAATAAGCTTAGAATATCATCCCGTCACAAAAATTACACATAGGGAGATAATGATGCAGTTACATGTAATGAGTAAAACATGAGTTAAGAATTTTGAAAGTAATAACATAGCAAAGAATTGAAAATATTTATTATTACGATGATAGTATATTAACGAACTTATGCTCTTTTTAATAATATTAATAGATAATTCATTTGATATAGGAAAGCAAACGTAACAACGGGGTTAATATTATTTTTATTTATAAAATTAATCTTCACGTTATTTTCAATGTTTAAAACCGATATCCAAAAGCAATTGTAACATCCCAAAATTACAGTGTCAAAACCATATAAATAGAATAATCATATTTAATAATATTACAGCTCAATCTTACATAATAGAGAAATAAGCTTGTGGTTGAACGGCCTTATAGAAAGAACTAGAAAATTAAAACCGAACAACAAAAGCAAACCTCGACCGAACGGTTTACAAAAGACTATACCGAACGGTCCTACCAAAAGAAGAGGGAAAAGATGATCGAACGACCATCTTAAACTAAGCTAAAAAAAAAGTTGATTGAACTGTTCTACTATTCGGTCTTAACTTCTACCTCTACTAAGTTATCTTCCTCCAGCGCTTCTTCCAACAGCTCGTCTCCTTCTGCTCACATCCACATGGATGATCATTGCAACAGAAGGACAACCGAACGTACAAAACAAACAAGACAGAAAG